CTGCTGTATCTCTGTGTAAGAAACGTGTATAAAATCTTCTTTGAGTGTGATCAGGGTGCTTCTCTGCCTTAAAGGGAGACCCCAGCTGACTCTATTGGCTTGCTTTCAATAAAACTTTAAAATCTCAGCTGGTGCTTTCGTGTCGGTCTTCTTCTGGACTGAATCCTTACTGGGGAGAGTCAGAAACTCTCACATTTTGCTAACAGAAATGGGGGCTGGTCCGGGATCTCTTTAAGTGTCCGGTGATCCTGAAAGGGGGGAGGCCCTTTGGGGCCCGGTGATCCCTAAGGGATCCACGAAGGGAAGATCTGACAATTCCTGCCTGGGAATTTCCCTTGAGCTGCACCAGAATGGGTGAGTACATTTGGGTACTCCGAGTAGGTTTTTCCGGTTGAAAGGAAAAACCAGGCGGTCCAGCTGAAAGGAACAGAACATGCTTTTAACAAAAAGTAATTATATTCAACTTTGTAGGAAGAATATTTTTCATAATAGAAATAATTTATTCAAATAAATAATTTCTTAACCTAGTATGTATTTTGAAGTGTAAGATATATTTTATGAATTCTCTTTGGTAGCACAGACTAATTTCCTTTCAGCATTAATTAAAGGACATAGAAAGCTGGGTTCCAGCAGTCTACTGGAAATAATTTTTTTTTTAAATAGCATTAGAAAAACATTTCTTACCATACTTCAACCATGCAGCAAAAGAAAAAAAGGAATGTGGAACTGCTTACACAATTGTTCTTCCTCTTGTTTACATAGCTCTTCCCTTTTGATTCGGGCTGCAAGCTCATCAGTAAATGATCTAGGTCTTTTCTTTTGAGTTTGAAGTGGGGAAGTGGAGATGGATAGGAGGGAGAAAAGACACACTTCATTATTTTGAAAAAGTTTCATCACAAATTACTTAAAGCCAGACATATTATAGGCTATGAAATGTTAGAGGGGAAAAATAACTTTCAAATTAATAGGAGCACTACCAGTTTTATCACCTATAGAAGTACATGTATTAAAAAGAGGAATCCTTTAAATTCAAAAGTAACTGAAAAAGTGAAATGAGGTGTGTAAGTTCATATATGTTAGAATATAGCAATTTGGAAGCAGGTTTATAGAAAGATACCATGCATCTAGATAGAAGAAGCTCAGCAAAAGTGTGGAGAAAAGAAGAAAAACAAAAAATATTTTATTCATTTCGAACCATGCAGTTTAAATTGTTTCTAATCTGACTCCAAATCATGTCAACATAGTCCTCTTTTTACCAGCAATGTTTTCTGACAAAATTCAGTTAGTATTCCATCTCAACTAAGCACGAATCTTCACAGATATATCTTGTTGTTGTTGTTTAGTCGTTAAGTCGTGTCCGACTCTTTGTGACCCCATGAACCATAT